ATCACACCAACTCCACTTGTTTCTATTAATCATTGATTGAAACTTATTTCAAAACATTGGGTGTAGACCTTGTTCTTGTGATATGAATATTAATTGATGTATTTCTATACATTAAAGCTTGAAGTACGTATACAGTGAAATTGATTCATATATTTTCATACACGTCATTTTCTCATTCAGTTGGTTGGATTGCCTTTTTTCTCGACATTTCATGCCGTTCTCGACACTTGAAAAGTTGTTATCGACATTTGTTTTCGAATCATCTCGACATTTAACATTACATCTGTCTAGAACGACATTTCGATCGAAACAGGAGATTTCTCTACATTTCATACGGTTTTATCGACATTTGATCTGTCGTTCTCAACATTAAATACCTGCCAATCTCGACGCTTGATATTTCAACTGTCAGGAACGACAGTTCGTAAATGTACATATAATTTAAAACCTGAACAGCATGCAAGTAACTGAATGACTCGTATACGATTTTCTCCATTTCAATTCTACATCAACACTAAGAACTATACCACCAACCAAAATATCTGCCTAATGATGGTAAACAAAACGACAAATGTCAATGATTTTTCCAAAAACAATACCATGCTACGCCAACATTATAAAGTAACTACGCAGCCCTCTTACCCTTTCGACGACCAGATCATGTAAACAAAGTCCGCGTGTTAGCACTAGGTACCTTAACCCTGATGGATCGAGGTTGGGATGGCGGTGGAACATTGACGTTAGGTGGATCCGCAGTGGTGGCAACCACATCTGAGGACCTCCCAAACGAGCCATCGACGTTACAAACATCTATTTCGCTTGCCTCAACATGCCGTTTGTCATACGCAGTGTTTGGCAATGAATTCGGCAATGACAAATCATCACAATCATCACGTACATGCATATCTTCATCGTCCACAACACAACTAAATCCACCGTACTCATCACTCACCTTATGTCCCCAAATTTCTGTCATTACATCCTCAAACCCACGTTTCATCATATATATTTGATCTGTCACATGGTCCTTCATACAACACACATGATCTCCCATTTCCTTCTTGATACCATTGAACCTCACGTTCATTTCCTCTCTCAGTTCGTCCAACCTTACCCAAGCATCTCCCTCTGTTCAGTGAACAAAGCTCTTATCTCATCCAAAGACACATGCCTCACTGCTGGATGATTTCCCATGCTAGAAGATGATGGCAAGTCCTGGACTGGATCGCGATGCCTTCCTTCTCCACCTTCATCGTCACTGAAATCACTCAGATGAAGTCCACTTGTGTTAGCCCTCCTGGATTTCTTGCCTCGGTTGTTCTCATTATTTGGTAGCACTTTACCTTCTCGTGGACAATCTTGTATTTTAGTTGATTGAAGATCGAAACTGTCCAGAATGGGGTCTGCAGCATCTTCGAATGGAACTAAATCAGCAAAGTATGGCTGCAATTCTTCTTCAGCAGTAGCCCACAACGTCGCCCACAAGTGTACCTGCGAAGGGAGGAAAAATTATCAAAATCAATGATAATATATGTTGAAAGTATTAGTTCAGTTATGTATGTGAATTGCTCACATGTGTCTTGTCGAAGAAATCTGAATATGTTCTTGATTGAGGCTATCTTGTGCCAGACCATCGCTACATCCTCAGAATGTCGTCACCAATCTTACTCGAGAATCGATCTCCCAACTCTGGGATTGCCTCGTACACCCACAACTGTAACACATTTATAACAGTAGTTACCATATACGGAGAGACAAAAATGTGCAATGCATATAATTGAAATAAAATACGGACACATGTATACCTGAACAGCAAGAGGAAATTCGAACAATTGTTGACCTTTGCCAAAGCTACCTTTCTCTCCCATCTATGGAGCAGTGATTTGATAAGAAGCTTAAAGCTTACTATCCCCCATGGATAGGCATTGAACAAATCCAAGTCGTCCACAATAGAAAGAGTATCGGGATGTATCCCCACATTTTGGTCTCTAGAATTGAATACCACTTCAATAATTAGTGCCAATGCAAGCTTGTAACGATCGTTACATTTGGCACATTTCAGGAAAACCTTCTCCAGGTCGCTACAAGTAATTTGGTCTCTATTGGTGAACATTTTGTCCCTTAGTCGAGTTTTTACGAGGATTTTATCGGAAGCCGACCGTTTACGTAATTCACCGCACTTCAAGCCAGTAATTAATGCGAACTCTGGCACTCATAATCTTGTAAGCCTTTGGTTCACCTTGAACCAAGCCTCAAAACATTTTGGACAAATCACAATCTATTTACCATTTCATGAATTAATTGGGCAGATAGTTTGAGTTCCGAAAGTTTCGTAACATGGCCTATACAGCTTTCCTCAAACATATTCTTTTGTTGTTCATCAAACTTGTTGAGGACAATTTTTATGTACTTAGTGTTGCTAACTTGTGAAATTTGGCGAGAAACACGCTCTTACTCCGAAATTTTATAACGGTGTGAGGAAGACATCTACAAATAACAAAAACGAACAAGACAAAGAATATAAGAACCTACAAAGGAAGATTGAGATATGCAGTAATAAAATCCATGTTCTGCGAACAAAAGGCTAAATTGTCAAAAGTGGACATTTCTTGAAATGTTGTCATGAAATATATATAATTTTCAGAACAAAAAAAATATGGACATTACTACAATAGTAAGTAAGGGTTCTTATAAATTAATCGTTCATCCAATATTATCGAGAGCAATAATAACACGAAACACGAAACAAAAAACGAAAGTAAGAAAACACAATTTGAAGTGGTTCATTCATGTGATAATTTCTCAAAGAATGACTACAACAGAAAAAGTATCACACGCCCACGTAATTCTCCCAAGTGTACTGGCAAAATTTTCTATGAGTGATTTGTTGAGCCCATACGCAATGTAAGACAACACAATAAGAATAAGTTGAAACAAAGACTACTATTTTTCCAATATTTTAGTTGACACGGATGCACGCATGTCGCAACTAAACAAGAATAAAGTGTTACTCTTGATTCTTTACAATGTATAACCATAAAACTCAAGTTCAACGTTACAAAACTCGAGCATCATTAAGGGAACTTGCAAAAATATTAGTACCATCAATTTTATTAAAGTTGTATACTAAACAAGAAGTCCAATAAATCACCCACAATAAATTTCTAGCTGACTTTTTCGGAAGTCGCCACTTTTTGGTTATGAACAGGTTAACTTTTTATATTAAAAAGGAACTTATCTAAAAGCAACTCACACTTTGCTTACAAAATAAGTCACCTATTCTAGAAGTAATTTTTTTAAGATTAAGGAAATGTGCCCTTACTCTTAATCCTATAGTATTGTGTGTCTTTGACCATTATTTCAAGTTAATTTGCATTTTTATTCATCACTAAATAACCATTCAAGACCCCCACCCCCTCTCAAAAAGTAAAACACATTCATAGTTTCTTCACAGTGCACTTCTATGGTTCTTAATTTTGGAAAACAAATGCATATGAAACTGAAAGGAACTACAAGGAATGAAAAAGATTTTACCATATCGAGCTGTTGATTCACCCTAGATATTTTAGTAACACTCAAAGATGACTTAGGTAACTGTTGCTGTACAACTAAAGTGATTTTTTTGTTCACAATAGTGATGTATTCTATCGAGATAGAAAATGGAAAGGTAAACCAAATTTAACATGTCTTTTGTGGTTGAAGAATTTGATTGCATTGAATTTTTCACTCACATAGCAAAGGTCAAACAAAACAGCAAAAAATGATCATTTAGCCAACTCCAAATTTATTGAGAATATTACTTAATTTGTTGTTATATAGGGTTACATTTGTGAGTTTTCTGGGTAAATATGAATCTAAAATGAGTTTGCAAGCTTAGCAATGTGGATAGCTTCCTGGTAAACACAGTCAAATTCATACTCAACACTAAATATGGCATCCGTTTCATCCTCAATTGGCGTCACAACTCCAATTGTTTATATTTTTATTTATTACCTCATTTATTCTAGCATGACTATACATCCATCTTACATCCCAATTTCTTCTAAATTCATAGTCCCGTTAGTTTGTTCTTTAATGACCTAACACTCCGTACTTTAAAGCATAGAATGTCAATTCATTGTTTTGTAGTATCTTCCTATCCCATAGAATCTTTGTATTGTTTCTCTGTCTCATCCAACCCTCTTTAATTATATGCAATACATCATCTTCAAGTCATCTTTCATTACAAACAAAAAAACCTAAATACCTAAAACAATCACTCTTTATGATAATGAATAATCTATGGTGATTCTATGCATTTCGTCTCAACTCTATTTAATCTAAATTCTCCAGGTTCTAACTTAAATAATAACTCCGTCTTAGAGATTAGAAAATAACATCGACCAAGGCATGTTATCACGGATCTTTCGTAAGCTCATCTATGACTGAAGGAATAGTTACGGACTAAGATAGTACTATATTCAAGCTTGCATTGATAAGAAAATCAATGCTACCACCACTAGTCAGATTCGTGATTATGTCATCATGTATATCTCGAATAATGTTGATGTATCTAACAGGAATTCCTCTTACAGTGAAATGAAAGATGAGGGAGAAAGGAACATGATATGCAAAGATTCTTAAAGTATTCGCTCACAAATCAATGCCTAAGCTGATGAAATTCCATGAATACTGACATTAATCAAAGAACACAAGAATATAACATCTTGTTCCAACATTAGGGTTGACATAGTATTTTTCTTACATATCTAAATAATAGTAATAGTAAGTTTAGGAAACTGCATGTTCTTCATATTTTCAACTTTCCTTAACTCCATTATAGTATTATCTAAAAGCATCCTTGTGAAGAGTTCATCGACCAAAAAACATAAAAAAAAATATACAGACGTAAAAATTGATCTTAAAATGTGTAGAAGCTCTGCACGATTCAAGCAAAATTTGGATGAGATTCAACCAAAAAGCAACAAATATTTATCTGGTGTGCAAATTAGAATCTGCCTTCAGAACATATACAACCAAAAATTTGGACCTAACACATTCCGAGTGCAAATCAGATCAGCACTCAAAACATATACATTACTAAGACCAATCTGTAAATCTGACTCTTAACTCACCTAAAAATGTATCTTTGCTGTCGTGCCTTTTGTATGGCCTCGAAAATATTGTTGTTTCAGGCTGCAGAAGAAGAAGAAGAAGAAGAAGAAGAAGAAACAATTATCTTAAAGATCTTCTATTGAAATTGTAAACAAATTAAATTCCCAGAATGACGTACTTACAGGATTCAGCAAGGGCGACTGATGAATGGTGTAGGCGACTGATGAATGACGATCGGCGTCGGCAATTAGGTGGAAGGAAGTTGGAGTTGAGAGAGATTAGGGCTTGAGTTTTGGTTTCTGCTTTTCACGAGTTTTGTAAGAATTTTTTATTTTTTATAGTTGATGGGTCGGGTCATATGGTTGTGACGGGTTTGATGGGCAAACTATCAGAATTGAACCAGCCCATTTCAACAGAATCCAACTAAAAATTATGTAAAAATCTGATTCGAATTGATTTTCATGTGTAAACCCATCACCCTAACTGATTCAATCAAAATCCAACTAAAAATCATGAAAAAATCGGTGGTTATTGATTAATTTCTAGGGAGTAGGTAGCATTTAATGCATGAATTGATATTTGTACTTTTTCAAATAGATAGCATATATTATGTGTCAAATTTCTATTTGCTACACAATTTTAATTATTATACGAGAACATTTGTAATAGTAGTGGAATTTGAACTTTTCATTAAGGGCATTTTGGTCTAAATTTTAGTAAAATAGACATGTAAGAAAATTTTGGACATTTTTGCAAATGGCTATGGAAAAGTGGACATTTTTTGAAATTTCCACTTGAAGAAAACTGGAAATGATAGGGTTGAACACGTGAAAAATGTTGTCTTTCAAACAATATTTATCTCTTCTCTTTGTTTTCAGATTCCTTATAGGATTTCCGACAAATAGCTACGAGAATATGACAAGCCTTGATGAGTTTGCACCAAACAAAGATGAAAACTAAAAAGTTAAAAATATTTGAGTATGAAAGAAACACGAGAGTCGAAAATATAGAAGTCAAGTGTAGATTTCACATTTCCTATCAAATGACATGAAAAGTTGGATATTTATTGACCAAGGGGCTATGGACATGGCCACTTTGATACTCGACAAGTAATCACATCCTAATGGTTTACATGCTAGTCTCAATAGAATTAGAATAATGTTCCTTGGACATGGGCAATGATAGAGATGGGGATAATAGGGTGGTGTGACGATAGTTATTGGGTGTTGTGTTTTCTTTTTCAAATTGTTCAATGATATATTGACACGTGTTCTCTCTATTATTGAGTATGTCACTGTAGCAAGATTGATAGAATTAGTTTAGTTGCACAACTAGATTTGACAATTAATTTGACAACAATGAGTTGTCAAGATTTGGACTGTTGATGTAAGAAACAATTTTTAAAGTAAATGGATGTAATGATGTCAATTTGGATCGTCAACTCGGACGGTCCATGGCTCAGTCCGAAAAAAGCTCGAGTCGTCTTGACTCACGGTTCGAGAAACTCGAGCCAGCCTTATTTTTGGGCATTGGCCTGTGCCTGAGCAAGCCCGTGTTTTAAAATGCAGGCTCGACTAAGGTTTTCTTAAATATCTTTTAATGTATTGTCAAATCATAATTATATTTACATAGGCCATCAAACGGTTCCTTCAAGATTGCATATAATTATATTGTTAAAAAAAAATTTGCATTTCACGCTTTCAAAAGGAAAAAAAACTCGAGCCAGCTCGGTTCGATAAGGCACAAATCGAACCTTGATTTTTTGGCCGAGAAAATTGGACCAAAAAAACTTGAACCGTTTTGTACTTGAGCCTTGCTCGAGCTGTGACCTTCAACTCGCAAGTTGGCTTTGCTCGTTTACATTCCTAAGTGGATGTGATGTCTGTAAAGTGTGAAATTGTACAGAAAGTTGTAAAATTTTTTTTGTACAAATAATATGATTGATCTCAATAACATCACGTACTAGCTATTATAGGCTCGTGACCTTCGTACCCTGTCCTAGGTTGATTAGTAGGAATTTATAAAATAGGAAATGATTTGCATTATGTCCCATCTAATCCACCTTATAGCGATTTCATAATCCTATCATCCCTAATAATATCCCTTCTAGCCCTATCCTCGTAATCAATACAGCACCAAATGTAAGCTCCTAGTACCATTTCTATCAAAAAAAGAAATAATTTGCATGCTCAAGTACATGTACTTTGATAATCATTCCCTATAAAATTTAAATCTTGACCCGATTCAAGAGTGTAGACTTAACCTGTAATTTCTTGTACTTTTAATAGAAAAAACTGTCTCAAAAGCAACCAACGTTGCCTTTACAAACTCAGGGTATCGATACTAATGTCAAGAAATCTTAACGAGGGTCTTAACTATGCATTCCAATCACAATTGAAGTAAAAAAATTCAGTAAAAGAAAATGCTAATTTGCTTCATTTAGAATCCTGATTACAGTATCAAAATGACAAAAAGTCAAAAAACCAAATCGCAAAGAAGTCATAAGTTAAAGCAAACGTTCCAATCTCAAAAACTTGAAGAAAAAAAGATTAATAAATTCTCAAATGTGTTCTTAGAGAGTTCCCAGAGTTCCCTCGCTATGACTTCACCTGATAGAGAACCCCTCTTGCAATCCCCAAGATGATGTTAAACCGCTTTTCCAGTTCAATAACAAGCATAGTTTTTGATCTAGTAATTTTTGTGAAAAAATAAAATAAATATTGATCGAAATTGACAATTCCATTATAAAAATTATCATTTTCATGAACTAACAAAATATAATGGCATCCAAACTTTTGTTGGGCATGTATTCATAGAGTAAGATCTTTTCATTCTCTTTCATGCAGTAGTCTAAAAGACGTACGAGATTACGATGTTGAAGCTTTGCGATCAGTACAACTTCATTTTGAAACTCATTAATGCCTTGCACGGAACAGCTTGACAACCTTGTCACTGCAATTTCTTGTCTTCCAGGAAACATTCCCTGCAGATGTTGTGAACTAGAATTAATACATTAGGGCACGAACTTGATTATACGAAAAAAAATTTATGGGGAAGACCATATTAAAATGTAAACAGAACTGAATCCTCCTCGCCCAAGTTTGTGGACATCTGAAAGTCCTCTGTTGTTGGCCTGTTGATTGACTTGGTGTTACTCTGTTATTCTGTATGAACATGTTTGAAAAGATGTGTGTTATCCTATATGATATCTCCATCGCATGTTTATTTTCTCTTGATTGATTGCTGTGATTATTTGCTTCTGTTTGAGTGTTCTTGATCTTAGCCCTGCTGAGTACATGAAGCAGGTATGGTATGTGTTTCATGTGCGAAACACGAGGTAAGGTTTGTGATACCAATTTTATTGGTTACCTTGATTATGCAAGTATAAACTGTGTTTTGGTTGTTTGCAGATTTATTGGGATCAAGGTAGAGATTTGTTGGGTTTTTTGATACCCAATAAATCCGGGCAATGATGTTAAACCGGTTTTATAGTTTGGATTAGACTTCATAGGACTCGGCCGATGATTGAAGTGAAATGTCGACACCACAATGAACGAACCATTCCGACAACTTAAGTGGGTCATTTGAATTAGCCTAATTTCATTAGTGTTGCTCATGGCCCAGCCCATAACCTTGAACGGCTTTAAGTTGCTAGCCCACTTAACTATCCTCCTATTGGGCCTATCACTTGACCTAAAACCCATTCCTAAGTTTAACCTATTTAATGTTATACCCATTAATGTTGGTTGGGTGTGGAAGAAGTGAGAGAGAGAGCCGTTCTTGAGAGAAAGGAGAGAAACCGACTCTTGCTTTGTGCTTGTGCTTCTTGGTGGTTCTTTCTCTTCCCTTCTCTCTTTGCCTTGGTGGCTGAATATAGAGGCAATCTTCTTCTTCACACCAAGTCCTAAGTGGGCTGAAATCATTGGAGCAACATAGCCCCTTTTCTCCTTCTTTCTCCCTTTGCCTTGGTGGATAAAGATAGTTGTTCTTCATCTTCACACCATAGCCCATAGTGGGCTGAAATCATTGGAGCAACCGGTTTGGGTAGTGTTGGCTTGGGAGTTGTGGTTGTGTTGCATTGTGGTGTCGATTGGAGGTTAAACTGAGCTCGGTAATGTTGTGATTGGAGGCCAATAATCTTACAGGAACCCACAACAGCGCCTATTACAACCCCTTTACCTTTTTTGGTGGTCTGTTTGGTGCTCAGAAACTGGACGGCAGAGGCAGAAAGCCGAATATCGATAGTTCTCCCATTGCTATCATTGTCCGAGAGTTTTTGCAAATTCATTAGTTCTCCATTCCAAACTAGGCATTCATGGCCATCAGAAGAATATGCTGTACAAGAGCAACTATTCAAGCATGTAGATTCACATTCTCCAGCACTCCTCGTCATCACTGATTGAGAATTACTAGGTAACATAACTTGGGAATTCGCCAAAAACTTATCGTTTCCATCCGGACCATTCTCACACGACAGATTGTTCTTTCTCACACAGCCACCAGAGTAATGCCCCACAATATGCGTACACCTCACATTGTTGCCCTGGCAGAGACACAAACAAAATCCACTCCTTCGTATTCTCAAACCATAATGTCTCCCTAAGTCTGCCGGAAACCTCATCACCAATTTCGACATAGTAGAAGGTTTATAAAGAGAACATGTGAAATAAGTCTCATTAACATTATCAACATAAGTAATATTAAAGATATAACTCAGCCTCATTTTAGGGACTAAACCGAACATGTACCCATTCCAAGCTCCACTAGTCCAGTATTTTACAGTCCTATTCCTGATTATATTGCACTCATGACTCCCATTAGGGTTCTTGCCCAGCTCAAGTGAGAATAGTCCAGGTGCAGGATCCTCAGAATTTTTCAAAGAAGTGAATTTTTTTTTTGTTTTTGTACGTTTGTCATAGGAAAGTTTTCCACCTGGCAAAAACGTATCTGTTGGATGATCAAAACTTTGCCAGAATCCTTCAGTTGACTTATGTTTTGAACCACCTCTCAAAACTAAATTCCCGTCATCACCTAACGTTGCCACTACAGAATTTGAGGTTTTCGAGTTTACGCTCGTGGACCAAATCGAAACCTGGGACTGCATAAGCACCAAATTTCCTTCTGAAATTTTCAGTTCATGTCTGAAATGGGTGTCTCTCTATTTGCTACCCAAACTATGGTCCTTGGACTAACAATTTTATACCATATTCCAATATAATACTTAGCAGAATTACCTGGTTTGAAGAATCCCAGTTCAAAAGTCCCACCAGAGGACACGATTATCTGGCTTCCTGACAGAGATTGGTTTGCTGTGATGCTGTCAGCTCCTTGGGAGAGATTGTTGTTTATAGAAAAACATAGGAAAAAGAACACTGAGAGAATGAAACAAGAAGTTTTTTTTGTGATCATGGCTGCAGCAGCCTACGGACAAGGAGGATAGAAGGAGAGAGTTCAATGAGCATTAATTAATATTTTCCCATGAATGGTCAATTCGATTTGCGGCAACGAACGTTAAGTGATATCTCAATTGTGTCACAAAATTTTTATCTATCTTAATTTGATCCTGAATTTCAAATTAGTTGCAATTGGTCACTATCGCCCGTTTGGCCCCCATTATTCCGCATTATAATGAGGAAAATAATAATTTTTTTGGAGAGTGCGTAGTTAAAAAAGAAGGAATTTTTTTTTTTGAATTTACGCATAATATTATTTTATTAGAGAATGTGTGAATTATAAGAAATTAGAAAAATGAATTACAATTTAATAGGGGCTATAAACTTCAATGTTGGTTTCAAATTTCATTATTATGTCACCTATCATCTTCCAAATTAATGAGAACTACATAATTTACAACAAAAGAATAACTGATTCCCACGTAATTGCTGGCAATTAAATGAAGCTATTATTATATTTTCGTAACCCTCATTTTTCTATATTCATTTTTATATTGTCACACCCCTCATTTTACCATTTTCATTTTTAGGGTGCTAGTGTACAATGCAATTATTACATGAAAAGATTAGTTACGACATGATTGTTAGCTAAGAAATTTCCGTTATTGTTGTCATATTGTATGACATAGTGATTGGATTTAAAAATAAACAGAAATTCAGTGACTCAAATGATTTGGTCATTTGAAGTCAAGCCCGTGCTGTTTACGTTTTTATATTTTACACAACTTTTTATGACTTCACGGTGTCCATTACCAAATCTCAGGAGATAATGCTTTTTGTGTAATTTGAAGATGTCAAAATTCCACTTATTTGAATTTCTGTAACGATTAGAAGTGTTGTCCCCTACAGAAAAGGACACAAAGTTATGGATTAGAGTATTTCTTGTGTAGTCTATTTTCTATTTTCTAAGGAATTGCTGATTTCCTGGTGAGAATTCAAATAATGAAAGGCCAAGGCATGTTCTCTTTACCGTTTTCAAGTCGTTTTCTATTTTAGATTTTTCAAAATAATGAAAAAACCTTTTCTTTCCAATTTTCGAAAACGCGTTTTTGAAAACATGTTAAAAAATTTATAAAGAAAACCCAAAATGATAAATTTGTCGTTTTTGGTGTTTTCAGTTATAATCAAGTTATAATTTTCAAAACACGTTTTGAGTGTTTTGAGTGTAACGTCACCCCAACCACCACCAATGTTGCCTACACAACACCACTGCCGCAGCCGCCGCAACCATCACCATCGCCGCCTACACCACACCACCACAAAAACCACCGTCGCTGCCTGTACCACACCACAACCACACAACCTCCAAATCCGGCACCACAGCCACCATCCACCACAAAAATCGTTACCACACAACTGCAAGATCCATCACCACAAAATTGCCGAAATCGTCGCAGAACCACCACCACAGCCACACCCCCGCTACAGTACGCACACCACCGCCATAGCCATGCACACAAACACCACCGCCACACCACAGGACCCAACCACCGCACACCCAAAAACCACCGCCACGGTCACGCACCCAAACACCATCGCTATAGCCACAACCTGCAACACACCACTGTTGCACACCACAATCCAAAACCACAACACACTATCGCCATAGCCACAACCAACCACCGCCACAAAAAAAAGAGAGATGAAGCCGCTGGTGATCGCAGCCACAACCAACCATCGTCGCACACCACGCACCGATCGCAGCCACCGTCCCTGCTCGTCAATAGAGAGGAGTGGAGGAAGAGAGAGACGACAAAGAGAGGGAAATGAGAGAAAGGGGAAGAAAGAGAACGAGTTTTCCAATTTTTTATTTTTGAAAACAATTTTTCAAAATGTCAAAAAGAATACATTTTCCACAATCTCAAAATAGATAGTCAAAATACAAAACTCAAAAAGAATTCAAAACTCAAAACAAAAAATTGAAACACAAAAAGAACAACCCCTAATTTACGAAAATTTCTGCATTGCCCTGCCAATAGGGAGGCGTCACTTTACATGACCCTAGTCATGTCAACGAGTCGAATGCCACGAACTGAAACTCAAAGCTCGGGCTCGACTGGAGCAAAAAAGTCCGAACGTTTTTTGGCCCGAGCTGAGCCGAGTAAAAGCTCGGCCAAAAAATTGAGGTTCGACCTGAGTTTAAGCTCGAGCCTTAGAGGGCTGAGCCGAGCTCGAGTCGAGCTGGCTCAGAATTATTTTTTTTCTCTTTCTCTTGTGTCAAGAGACAACTGCCTGCAGGTAGCTTTTTGTTTTTTTATTATTTTTTTTCTTTTTCTTCAATTTTCAATTTTTTTTAACGGGCTCGAGCCTTTGCTCCAAAGTGGGGCTAGGCCCGAGCCTCTGCTCGGTGGTTCTGAGCCACGAGCCGGCTCGGCTCGGGCTTTTTCGGACCGAGCCGACTATCCATTTTGCCATCCCTACGTGACCCTATTCAAGTAGCATGACTCGTAAAGTGTATGTCTTGTCATTTTTTCCATTATTAGTAATTTTGAGTTTTTCAATAGTTAAGAATGATTAGCTCTTATTTGGTCTCAATTATTTCAAAAATATATTTGTTTCTTTCTTATTTTTAACCACGCATTCTAAATAAAATTTCGATATTTATTTAAGTATCATTTGTTGTTTTTAATACTTCGATTAGACTAAATTATACTCCCTCCATCCCAAAACAAGATTGCATCCTACAGATATTTATTTAAGTATCATTTGTTGTTTTTAATACTTCGATTAGACTAAATTATACTCCCTTCGTCCCAAAAAAATAAAATTATTTCCATCTTCACACAAATTAAGAAAATGTAATTAATATAGTTGGAAATATAATTTTCTTATATATTTTCTAATATACCCCTACATTAAATAATGTTTTAAATAGAAGTAGTTCATATTTGTTGATAACATAGCATATTAGAAAAGAAATCATCTATACTATCAACAAAGAAAGTGACATATAAATTGGGACATACGGATAAGAAAAGTAAATCTATTTTTATGAGATGGAGGGAGTATTTTTTTTCTTGCAGTGTAAATCGTATATCAAGCTCCAATTTGCATTTTGCCTGAAAACAGCAAGTGTCTTTCCTATATTGTCTACACCAAGTTCATTGACGCCTTCACTCTGTTATTTCTTTTCTGTTCGCAATTGTGGTGAATCCAACCCTCGTTCAACTATATGACATGTGTACGTACTAAGAGAATTTCTTCCTGATCATATAACGTTTAGGTCGTGTAATGTTTGGATTATAGAGATTTATGTCATTTTAAACAAGGCAAGGGATGAGAAAAAGAACATAGGCTAAGATTGTACGCACTCCGATGCTCAAGTGAAAAGGACAGAAGTGTATTGGGCGAGAGAGAGGTGGAGAACACAGAAACATGAGAAATGGGGTTTTATATTTCTAGAGAATACCAAGTTTTTATGGCCTTCAGATGTCACCAAATGTAAGTATTTATAAGCAAATGAATGAGTTTGACATACATTGTGTGCTTCCATGTGGCCTCATTTCAAGGAGTCATATGTCAAGCTCCAAATGGTCACATTCTAGTAATCAGATGTTCGTGACCTCCAACAAACTGTCCTAACAGGAAAGGGTGATTTGACTTCCGATCATCTTTGTAGAAATATTACATCAATCACATTGTACGTGCATGCCGACCTTGAGTATAGGCTAGGTAGGCGATCGCTTAAAGCCCCACTTTGGTGAATGCCCCAAAAAATAGTTATTATATAGATTACATTTATAAATAATAAAGAAAAAATTTCGAATTTTATTTTATATTTTTGAAAGTGTAAAGAACTTTTAATACATTCGCGATTTTCAATTTTGTTTGTTTTTCTATTTTTTTTTTCTCATTTTAGGTTAACTTTCGTTCTCTCTCTCTCTCTCTCTCTCTCTCTTCGCCATTTCTTTTGTTCGTTAGTGACCTTTTAGATATTATTTTATTTTCTCTACTTGTTTAACAATCCGCAATTCCTCTTCTCCAAATTCAACTTCTTGCAATTTTATAGTCTTTTGTTCGTTAGTGACCTTTTAGATATTATTTTATTTTCTCTACTTGTTTAACAATCCGCAATTCCTCTTCTCCAAATTCAACTTCTTGCAATTTTATAGTCTTTACATTTACTTTTTTGAAAGTAATACTAATCGTATTATATGTATAATATTTATTATTTATATAATTTACATGTTTGACCCTTAATTCACTATAAAAAACGCACCGAGAAATTCAAGTTGGAAGTATTAAAGTAATAAAATTTCAAACTCTACTAATAAAAGTCGCTTTAAAACACCTAATGGAAACATGTGATGATATTATAGATTTTGAAGTGACGTGATTGTCTGGTACAATATATTATTTGTTATTAATAGAGTAAGCAAAATATTTCAAAGCGAGAATATGTCAATTGATGTTATTATTAATTACTTCAAAGCACTTAGTTCATTTTTTGAAACATGTAGAGAAATTTAATTTAAATCTGATAAGATTACTTCTTAAATGGAAGTTGAAATTACTTTTCAGGATAACTTTATTATTCATATAAATAAACACTTCGATAAAAATATTAATAATGAGATAATACATTCAACTAAAGTATCTTTTAGAGTTGATTATTTCTTTTATATAGTTGTCAAGCTATTTTTTTTTAGTT